GATTGGAGAAATTTTGCATAAAATCTGGATTACATCACCGCGACCGAGTACACAATTGTAGGCCGGAGCACTGACAGGATAGAAAGACCTGTGTGTGTGTGAGTGTGTTTGTGTGTGTGTTATTCTCAGCTTCTCAATTTCGCCTCATACAAGATGAGGCGTCACACCACCCGGTCATATGGAAGGAGAGGGGATAAAAGTTGTCGAAGGTGGAAAACGCAAATTGTGCCAGACCAGGCCGGTTGTCAAGGCGAGGGTGCGATTGGACAGTTGTCTCCAGGTCAGGAGGCTGTAGGTTGCGGTACCAGGCGAAGATTGGGATAGGCTAGTGGATAGCTGGTCGAGGGGATAGTAGGAACGGGAGGTCGGGAGATGAGGAAAGCTCGTAAATTATCAGATCACTGGACAGACGCTCTTTCGTCTCTAACTGGTTGGTAGATAGGCGGACAGATAAGTCGAGATAGTACTTGGGGGGAGTCGGAGCCGAGAGTCGAAGTAGGGCGCTTCGGTTGGGAGATAGGCGAGCGGAAAACGGTACCAACAGCGGGCAGGGGAGCAATCGGACAGGCGTATGCAACACGAACCTGCCGGACGGATACAGTATTGCCATGAGCAAGTTCACTCTCGTAAATAACATTTATGACCCCTCATCTGTTGCTATTGCAGTTGTCCAGCTTGTTTGCATTCCACCAGCCCATTGCGTTTAAGTGAGCCGGCATTTTCAGTGATCCTCGAGGCGGGCGCACTTAAAAGCAGAATACTTTTACAACCCTCGCCACACACACACACACACACACATACACATACACACATATATATACACACACACGCTCAGCCATGTACATTTATGCATATCCCCAGACAGATTCACACGCACAAATGCAAAGATACTATGCATGTACAGCTATACACACATACACACATGCACACATGCATACACAAGTGCACAGGCCGCGCATATGCTTGCTTCCATGGGCATGTTGTTCGGTATGCAGGTCGCGTTGCGAATTCATGGAATATGCCCAAAGCGGAACCGGAAAAATCCTTCATCGACCCGCAGCGCTGGTTGCCGTGGCGTCTGGCTAGGCCCGTCTCCGGGATTCCGTTGAAAGCGGTGAGCCAACCGACGAGACTGAGCATACCGAACTCGTTGACGATGAGACATCTTGCTCTGAAGATGTTCGTCAAAGGACGGACGAAAGCTTGGCAACTTTTCACCGGAATCGGAGGCTGTCGCATCGGAAACAGCGTCACCATGAAGGTTGGTCAAGAGGAATCGGCCGTCGTCTTCTGGTGGAATCGAACTTCGAATCTCTTCACCAAACATTGTCACTCTAAGTTGAAGTTAGCTCAACAAATATGAAGCAAGAGATTCATTCGAAACCCAACTTTTCTTCGCTTCTACAAGATCCTGTTTAAGAGTAAGTGATGATTTCGAAAGCAACCCACATTGAAAGTAATTAGAAGCGAAGATGATGAAGGACTGATTGTAAATTTGCCCACGATGAGTTGAAATGTGGGAAAATTCATTATTAAAGCTTGGTCACTCTAAACTGCTCTTATACTACTTAATTCTAATTAAGTAGTCTCTTCGATTGCAATTGAAAAAACATGTTTGTCTTTTCAAAAATCGCATTATAAAATGGTGAGTTAGAAGTTGTGAGCTTGTCTTGAATGGCACAACTGGCTTCGAACCCCGTTGTGGTTGCTGACAAGGGGTCAAAGTGACAGTCCAGTCCGTACAGCCGGGAGGAGGACAGCTTTTTGGTTGACAAGACGAAGTGAAATGTACCGCAATCCTGGGGCCTACTCATGTCAATGTGGAACATTGCCAGCTTCTTGTCCGAATAGAAACTTCCAAGTTGTGCTTTTGTAAGGCTGGAAAGGGTGGCGGGAAGCAAGGTACAGACGAGGTGTGGCCGTTCCTTTTCTGCGAACATGTCACCGACACAACCAACTCGCCAAA